GAAACCCTAAATTTGACAGGAATATCATCTCAAACACGTCCATCAGATTATGCAGGGGAAAGTAAAATTTCGAATTTTAAAAACGGTCGACTTTGTACATTTATCTTTCTTCAACTGCTCATTTCAATTCTTCAAAAATCATCAAATTTGCACTATTTTAGACGCTTTAAATTCATGGATTTGATGCAGAAATGGGATTCATAGTAATTCAGGATATGTTCCGAAAACTAGATGCACGAATCGACCGATTCACCAGATACTTTTCCATGTTTGGTGGTGTTTTCGACAATTAAAAAGAAACCGCAAGAATTTTAAATGCAATTCTTTTCGAACTCGTGGCTCGTAGTTTCGGCATATACACAGGCGAACAAGCCCTCATGAGTATGCTCGTGTGTGCGCGTGCGCACGCATGCATGCACGATGAGTATGCTTGAGAGAGATAGAGAGAGAGAGAGTCTTATGCTTGAATCCTAGCATAAAGGGCCCAACAACTGGTCATGAATTCGAATCCCAGCTTTGGACCCCAAAATTAAGAAATCAATATTCCAAGCTTAGGTGCAGGGTGGAATACACAAAAGTACTTCCTTTAATTCCCTCTTAAAAAGCTCTTTCTTTTCCCTTTTCATCACTTTAATCAGGGTCTAAGTGGGTTCATCAAATGGACGGCTCCCATCGATGGATATCTCTAAATGGACGGCAAGGATTTCAACACTTCAGGTGAACGGTTGAGATCAAAAGAGGAAAATGGTTTTGCATACATGAGTCCTCACCGTCCATTAATGACTTAAATCCACTTTATACCATACCTAGAAAGCATAAAGCCTGGAATGCAAATAAAGCAAGGAAAAGAATGTCATTATTCTCGCTCCAAGGAAAGATAAAGAGAAAAAGGAAAAAGGAAAGGAGACTTAAACCAAACATAAATAATAATAAAAGGGATGGCCTAACTCATTGCTTTCCCTCCCCCGAATGAGCCCATAGTGTCAAGAGAATTTTCAAAAGCATCCCAACCTAAATGACCAGACTACCCATTACTCCTTTGGGTGAAGCCCCACCTCGGATTAATTTTAGGATCCTAAATTTTGCGGATATAACCTTTTAAACCTATGGACTAACCTCAATAAGAAAATTTTCATAATGGTAACTTCTATGCACTTGGAATAAATGATGTCATGTACTTGAATAAAAGATCGTCCAATTTTTAGAGGGTAAGATTTAAGTGTTAGAAAACTTAAATTCTAATTTTCTTTTGAGGGTAATCATTTAGTGATTCTTACAGATGGTTCCCGACATTTCAAATTGAAAAACTCCCAAGTAGATATTCTAAGCGAAGGAGTAAATACAAATTATACTCCCGAGGGAGGATAGAGAAGATCCAGGAAAGGGCAATTTTAGTCATGTACAAGGCTTCTTTTTTCTACATTTCAAAACCAGGCGTCAATCCCATGCACGAGAAGATCTAAAGAAGAGCAATAGCATATATATTTACTGCAAGTGAAAGTTCCATAGAATAAAAGCATCGTCTCAATCTCTTAAAGCATAAAAGCATCTCTCTCTCTCTCTCT